TATTAGCTTTACTACTACTGCAACTATTATTATTACTAGTACGACTACTACTACTCCTGCTAAAATTGCGAATAGCATTACTAACTCCACCGTGTTAGTGTCATTACTTAGTAGTTAGTATTAATATGACTACTGCTTACTCGTACTTCGGCCACTACTACGACTACGACTACAGCTACTAGTGCGATTACTAGTTTCACAACTACCACACACACCATTATTAGTAGTATTGCTATTATCTTTGCTACTACTACTACGTGGACCTGCACTACTACTATCACTACTACTACTACGACGACGACTACGATTATGTTCACTATAATGCTACGTTCCTTTCTAGTATTAGTACCACGATCCCGGCTACGACTACGGTTGCTACGACGAATTCTTTCTTCTACCACTGCGACTATAACTACAACGACTACTTTCATTATTCTTACCACTACGACGATGACGGTGACGACGACGACTATCAGTATTATGAGTATTACGCCTACTACTACCACTACGACTTGCTATTACTACTAGCGCTACTACTACAACTGTTGTTACTGCGATATGTACTACGACGACGACTACTACTACTATTGCTGCTGCTACTACGACTACGACTACTACTACTACTACTACTACTACTACTACTACTACTAGTACGGCTACTACTACTACAACTACTGCTGCGACTACTGTCTACTACGATGACGACGGCTACTCCCACTACAACTATTATTACCACGATCCTTCGTACAACAACTACTACTACTATTACTACTACTACGATTACTACTACTACTGCTACTACTACTACTACTACTACTACGACGACTACTTCTTCTACTACTACTACTACTACTACTACTACTATTACTACTATTACTACTACTACTACTACTACTACTACTACTACTACTACTACTACTACTACTACTACTACTATTACTACGACTACTACTGCTACTATTACTACTACTACTACTACTACTACCACTACTACTACTACGACTACTACTACGACTACTACTACTACTACTCCTACTACTACTACTACTACTACTACTACTACTACTACTACTACTACTACTACTACTACTACTACCACACCCTGGACACCGTACATCCGTACATGCGATTTGCTGTGAAAAAATCGTTGCCCCTCCAGATACGATTTTTCCAGTCTCCACACACTGTGATTGTCGGGGGGGCATGCGTATGGTGCTGATTGCGAAGGGTTAACTGGATGCCACCACCAAGAACAAATCAGCAACGATTCGTGTGGATCGCTTCGAAGCTCTGCAGAAATCCGCTTGGCTGGCCGAGTATGTTTGCCAAGAGTGGCTTAATGACAGGAGCGACGACCTCCCCCCAGAACTTTGGAAGCGCATGTGCGCGAAGAGGGGTCAAGCAGTGCAGTGGGCTCTTGAACTTCGTCGAACATGTTGGTCGCGCGGAGCATTTCCAGAGAAATGCCAGGAGGCGCGCGCCGCCATGATGTTTGAAAAGGGCGGCGTTGCAAAACGGGGGCTACAGGCCTATATCTGGCTTACGAATATGGTACAAGCTTTGTGCATCAGTCTTACGACAGCGCTTGGTCAAAGTTGGGGTTGATTGACGTCCCGCACATGGGCTACTCAATAGGGAGTCCGCCCTGGCCGCGGTACCCTCGACGCAGTCTTCCTCATCCGTTGGATCGTTGCAGAGGCGAGCGCAATGCAGGACAAACGATTAGTGCGTCTCGCTCTGGCACGGGCCCAGACTTTTGGTTAGATCTCGCCACCGGCTGCCTTGCGGACCTTGAGTTTTGATGCCATATTCGCAACCTCGTTGTCGGGTATGTCGTACAGGTCGACGTGTAAGTTCTGGCCCTAAACAGGCGTCGGCAAAAACATGTCCCGATGCCGAATTGGCCATTGAATTGTCTCCACGTGCTCGGCTGCGTCTCTTCCCGGCGCTCCGAGCGTACAACACGACCTTGCATGTCGTTGAAGCGCCATTGTTTGTAATGTATTTTTCATGTCGCTTTTTGGCTTGATCCCACGTTATGTTCGGCTGAGATGTACGCCATGGATGTTTGTCTTTTTGGACGGGTGGTTCGTCTTCCATGCTCAAAGCTCGCTCACGCAACAAATCGTCGTTGCGCCTTGCCTGCGGTCTGCTATATCTTCGCCCCAGTGTGCGTCCTCAAATCCATGTTCGGTGCGGGGCGGTTTGCACCACCGGCGGCACATCTTGAGCAGCGTGTAGCATAACGGTCACATTTCGTAATACGTAAATTCAGCCAGCTCAGCTCCGCAGCCTCTGCGTGTTGATCCTCATCATTATCCCCATATGCCTCCACCGGGTGTTCCATTCGCGATTGGATTGCGCACACGACTCCGTCTCGTTTAAGTTGCTTGTTGTCGGCCTTTTGACCTCGATTCTACGGCGTCGTCCTTGCCTTTGCGATCTCCAATCCTGCAGCGACGAGAAAGTTGTGAGAACGAAGCGCCAAATACTTGAGTACGGCAGTGAGTCAGGAAGGCGCCAAGACAAATTGGGAGCCCACCGCTCACAGTAAGTTAGGGTTGTTCTTTGGGACAAGTACTAATCACAGCCGCCCGAAATATTTGAAGTGTAGTGTCTCACCTGGGTGCGACCGCTCCCGCTGGCAGAAGACATGCTATTGGACAGCTCGGAGTAACAGTTGGATTACTCCTCTTGTGGTTTTGCGTTGTGCATGGCACAGACTGTGAAGACCAGAAAGGCATGTTCTTTTTGCCGCCAGGCATTTCCAGTTTTACCAGCGCCATCTTCGAGCTTTTCTGACACCCCAAAACGTTGCAACGCAAACGCGGGGCAACCAACAGCACCCCCGTTGTTTTCGATGTTTCTGTCTCAGACGACTTGAAAGAATCACCAAAAAACAACCTTCTGTCGTAAGTACGTCAGCGTTCGTCTTGTGAGCCTCCTGTTTCCATGACAAAGTGTCAGGAGAGGAAAGAACACACAAACACACTCAATCGACGACCCCCAGAGAAATATTGGAAAATATGGTGAGTGGGGGGGGAGACAAAAACCAAGAACATACGAACACATGGGGAATCCTTGGACGTATGTCTATTTATTTGTGTGTCCCAGGACCCCTTTATGTGACCCCGCGTTCGTCGTATAGTGCTGTAGCGGGGCGACTCTCCTCATCGCAAGCTGGTCGGAGCGCAGCGCCTCTAGAAAACAGAGCTTCATGGCGTGAGTTGTCCTTCACTATACGTGGGCTCCGGGTGAAGAACCCCCCCTGTCCACGGCATCGTTCCCAAACCCCTAGGGCTTCATAGCGTTAGGTGTCACTCGGCATACGCTGGCTTCGGGTGAAGCATCGTCACTTGCCACGCCGTCGGTCCCAAGCCCCTTAGCGGGCCTCACCCTGAGCATCCCAGGTTGATCTCGCCGCGGTGCCTTCCGTACCGCCCTGCATGCTTCTTTTGGAGAAATGATGGGCCAGGTTGTTCAGCTCCTCCTGTACAGGGCCGTTTTTAATACATGCTCCGCGAGCGGTTCATACATTAAAAACGCAGGGATCTAGTATTAGAAACAACGATGAGTTCATGCATCAAATTATTCTTAAATTGATCATGTATTAGAAATCTTATGTATTAGATAAAAACAAGAAAATATCATTCGTTGAAAATTGCCCTGTGCTTGATTGACCTCGGGGCTCTGGCGAAGCGTCAGCCCACTCCCCGTGCCGCTCCTGCGCCGCCACGACCGGAAATGGTTTGCGCCGCCACCGCCACCTCCCCCGAACGTCCCAGTGTGTGTGTGGGTCTTGTCGCTCACCGAGACCGTGCACATGATGTTTCACGTTTTTTTGTTCAACACATGCTGTATAATCAGGTCAGACATTCCTCGCGGCTTGTTCCGTGATGGAATAAGAGGGTGCATTGCAGCATCATTAATACATATTGGGTTAAGTTGCTCTGGCCCTCCTCCTACTCCCCCTGCTCCTCCTCCTCTTCCACCTCCTCCTCCTTCTCCTCCTCCTCATATTCCTCCTCCTCCTCCTTGTCCTCCACCTCACATTCCTCCTCCTCCTCTTCCTCCACATCTTCCCCTCCTCCTCTGGAGGGCGGGGTTGGGGAAAGGATTCCCTCCCCTTTGCTACACCCCCTCTACAGTCAACCCGCATAGCAGGGATAGCAGGGATGGGCAACCTTCCCAAGGGTGCCATTGCATCCTTGCCTCCTCGGCCCATCCGTGGCCACTCTCGTTGGCCGCGCCCCGCTCGAAGAGCTTCGAAACGGGCGTCCAAGGTCTTTGCATCCTTATCGCGCATCCTTATGATACGGGCCGACTGTAGGGCCGACTGTACTACCCCCCCCCTTGGTTCGAAGAAGAAGAAGAATAAGAAACCGCATAAACATGATTGTTCGACGGTCCGCGCGGAATTCTTTGATCCGCGCTGGGTCCCCCTTGCGGCGCCTCCGGCGCCGCCCCTGGCGCGCCCCGCCCCGCGCGCCAGGGAAGGGGGTCCAGCGCAGATCTAAGAAACCCGCGCGGAGCACCAAAAGTTTATGTTTATGCAGTTATGTATTATGTTTCTTATTATCATCATTATTGTTATTAATATTATTATGAATAATAACATTATTATTATTATTAATATTATTATTATTAGTATTCGAGGTTTCCAGGGGCCTTGCATGGAAGGGACAGCTACGTCGAACTGTTCGGCCTCTATCTTCCTCCCTCTCTCTCTCTCTTTCTCTTTGTTGTTGCTTCTTTGTTTGTTCTCTCTCTCTCTCTCTCTCCCTCTCTGAGAATATATATATATATATATATGTATATATATATATATACAGATCTCTCTCTCTCTCTCTCCCTATCTCTCTCTCTCTCTCTTTCTTTATTTCTTTCTTTATTTCTTTCTTTATTTCTTTCTTTTCTTTGCCTGTGAATATGTACGTCTGTCTGTGGAACGCTCTTCCCAGACCCAGGAGCGCGGACCGCGCGCGCGCGCGCCCGGCCAGGAGAGGAGCTGGACCTGCGGGGGAGGCCCATGATGGTGGTGCACGCCGGGGAGCTGCGGGTGCGGATGGCGTCTGGCCCCACCGCCTGCTTCGGCCCGGGTTCCCGGGGAGCCGGTTCCAAGGCTCTCGCAGCGAGAGCTCGTAGCTTCAGGATGATGAGTGTTTTCCATCAAGCAGTGGCGGGTGCGGAGCGTCCCGGCGTGCCTATAGGCCCACCACAGAAGGTTCTAAGAGCCTGTTTGTGGTTTACACGGAATGCCTTTGGAAACAATTCTTGCCGAGACCGTCTTGGCTGAGTACATCGGGTCAACGTCCTAAGAACACCGTTTTTTTGGAAAGCTATCTGGGTTCTGAGGACGTGTCTTGGCAGGCCTATGGCACTGCCGGGACGGTCGGTCCCTGCGGAGAATGCCGGTGGTCCCACCCCTGCGTTCTGGCCGCGGGTTGCCCTTGGTCGGCCCTGGGACCCCCCGTGCGCTCGCGCGCGAGGGCGTGGCGCAAGCAGCAGAGGGGGCGCTCGAGTTCGAGCCCGGCGTCCCTGCCCACGTGGGGGCAAAAGTGGATCTCGCCAGGCACACCGTGGGGCGCACGCCGACGGGGGGCGGGGGGCGGACAGAGGGGGCAGCGGGGCGCGGACGTCACGGCCAGGGCCACGGGATCTTTTGGATGTCGTTGCGCCTTCCTCTTTTTCAGCAGGTGTCCTTTCCCCCCTCCGCCCTGTCCGCGCACACGCCTCGTGCGAGGATGCGCTAGCTCCCCTCTTCTGCCCCCCCTCTTCGGCGCAGCTGAGCCTAGTAGAGGAAGAGGAGGAGGAGGAGGAGGAGGAGGAGGAGGAGGAGGAGGAGGAGGTTGTGTGCGGTGTTTAAGATATCCCGCCGCTTCTGGCACTGATCTGCAATGATAATTCAGTGTCGTTCGTAGTTGTCGGCGATTGGATGCTGATTCGAGCCACGGGATTGTCAAAATCAGATCCTGGATGGGAAACTGGTTATAGTGAACCCCGGGATGTGTCTGGGGCCATTGTCGAAAGGGTTTTGAGGTATGGGCAGACGTACCGATGCCTCTACCCTTGCCTTGCTTCCACTTGGACGGCCCCCTCCACGGCTAGCTTCGCTTCGAAATCCTGGCCACGTCATTTTCCAGGCTTGCGCCCGCCAGGTTTGGGCCCGAGGTCGTTTTCACTAAACCACGTTTTGCTAAAAAGAGGTATGTCTGTCCACCCCCGATAATAAGAACCATACTTCGATCCATAACAAATGCATGAACACTTGGAGACAGATATACCTATATATGTATGTAGCACGATCACTCATCACAACCTTTTAAGCTCGTAATAGTTGTCATATTAGTAACACTAAGAGTGATATGCATACGAATCGTAGAACGACTTAAACCTAACAGTAACAATCGTATTACACTTACTCGAATCAGAAGAATTCGAATCATAATAGTAATACGAAGAATCAGCATATGTCCCACCCAGAGAAAAAAAAGAACATCCCACTGAAATCTACAATCCCCCGATGGCCCCAGGGGCCAGCAGAAGTTCGGGGGCACCTCCTGCACCCTCAAGGGTCGATGAAGAGTGTTCCCCAAGACTTGGGTTGCGCATGCGTCTACGATATGAGCCCGGGCTGCTGCCGCGACCTCGCTGCCCCTGGCTGGCCGTTCTGGCCCGCTCACCGCGGAATTCAGCCGCTTCTGAGCGCCGACCCCCTTCTCGTAAGTCGGGCATGTCCTTCTACAGGAGGAAAATCCAAAGATAATAGGAAACACTGTGCGAGGACGATGTTTGATGAGTGCTGAACTCTGTTTGATTTTTCTTCGGAAATCCGCCTGTAGGAGGACATGCCCGACCTAACCCTTCTCCCCCCGCGCGGCCGCCCTTTCGTCCCTTTCGTTATCTTCCACGTCAGACAATTTGCCTATCGGCGCCCCCGATTAGCCCGACGCTGGTACGGATCGCCTCCGCTTTGCAACCGACGAGAAAGTCTATGGTATGATCTTGTTTGACTGTAGATCTGGGGGCAAACGATCGGCTCACGAGAGAACTTCGCTGGCATCCGCAACTAGGATACGTTCCCCCTCCTCGCCCCCTCTGTACCAACTTCTTGCGTGTTCTACCAGTAACGCTGCATCTCTGTATTCTCCTAGAGGCCATGGCCGGCCAGGCCCGAACGATTGTCCGCAGTGGTGGCTCGCTTGTTCGTGGCAGCTCTGGGGTTGCACCTCGCGCGGGCGGCACTCGTCGAGTAGGAGATCGACTGCAGAATCGATGCGTCCTCAAATTGACACGTTGGTCGAATCCACGAAAAGTCCTGAGAATCGTTGTGAACCCACAAACCTTACACGCATTTTCTTGGATTCGGCGAACAAATCAGCACTTGGGTTAACCAATTATGTAGTCGATCTCATACCCCAATCCTGTGGCAGTGCTCCGACAGGCTCGGTCCTGAACGCCCTCGGCGCGCTCGGCTTGGACGGCGAGACCCTGGAGCGCGACTCGGATCAAGAGGAGCCGCAGCCCACGATACGCAGAGCGGCCACGTCCTCGCCGACGCCCGCGGGAAGGCCTCCCCGCCAGTGTAGAAGATCGAGGTTCGAGAATCGAGTCTCGAGCCTTTGTGGTCTGGCGACGAGAATCGAAGAAGAAACAACCATAAACATACAGTTCCGGTGCTTTGCGCAGATTTCTTGGGTCCGCGTTTTGGCCCCCCCAGCGGCGCTTCCAGCGCCGCCTCTGGCGGGCTGCGCGCGCCAGGGAGGGGGGTCTGGCGCAGATCCAAGAAATCCGCGTAGAGCGCCAGAAGTTTCTGTTTGTTTTTGTTTCTTGTCCCTCGAATCGAGGTCCTCGAATCGAGTCTCGAGCCTTTGTGGTCTGTCGGCGAGAGCCATGCACCTGCAACGATCCTGGCCGGGCCTGTCCTGGGCCCGGGATCGGCGCATATGCCGTCGGGCCAGGCCGGGGGGGCGCATGAACCGATCCTGGGCCCAGGATGAGCCCGGCCAGGGTCGCTGCATGTGCACAGTTCCTCTGAACATAATAAAAAGATAGTCTGGAAACGATGACTCGACTATTTGAAACTATGTTTGAGAATGTTCTGACTATTTTTCTGCTCTCTTCCAAGACCCGCCCGTAGGAGGACACGCCCGACCTAATCCTAGTAGTGCTTGCATCTACGGGTTCCCATGTCTCTTCTGAGGAAGTGGGCCTGTCGGCCAGTCTGGCGCCTATGTGGCCGCCGCCGCCGCCCAGTCGCCGCCTCGTCGCCGCCCGTCGTCTGGGCCTGTCTGTCGGTCTGGCGGCTACGTGGCCCCCTGTCGCCGCCCTAGACTGCACGACGTAGTTCTGCATTGGAGAAAAAAACTACCACAACCACCCCGGCGTTACCGGCTCCCCCTTGGAGCGTACAATGTACATGGTAGGTCTGCTCCATCGCTCTTCTAGCCCAGGGAGTGCCGAGATCGTCCCCCCTCTTCCTCCATGTCAAATAGTACTGTTTGCGCAGTTTCGTTGGTCAACAGTCATGCATGGTGATCAATCCCTTGCAACAGATGGGAAGCAGTCGACACGCGTGCGCCGCCATTCGCGCATGCCGATAGTATTCAACACTTCCTAGTAGTCGTGATGATTTCACGATCGGGATTCCCAGAAACAGGCATGTATCTTTATATTATATATGTACGTTTGTGCATACACATATACTGCATACATACATATATAGATATACCATCAGCGCGCGTTCTTGCGAAGCCCCTGGGGAGAAACAAAAACAGCATGCCCTTTTCACACATGTCATAACATTCCACCCAGCGGGCCTCTCGCGCTCGCATGCTGGAATCATTCGAGCGCCTTTTGCGCGTTTGCTGGGGGGACACAGTCCTTGTCAAATAATGCCATGTGGGCCTTTCGCCAGCCTCGGCCGCGCGCGCACGTCGATTTTTCCAAAACCTTCATCACTGACATGTGGACACCATCCTCGTCATCGGCGTGACCAGTATCGGTGCCGTCATTGGCCTTGCCATCATCACCGTCATCACCGCCACCATCACCGTTGCTATCATGATCGTGTTTGCCGTTGTCAACGTCGCCATGGTTCCGCGCCCGCCCGAGCCACCGATTCGCATTGGAACGCCGGCGCGTCAGCGCGGCCCGCGTGACGCATCAGGCAGTCCCCAGCTGTCAACGCCACCGTGGCCGCGTCGGTCGCGCCAAATTTGCGGGCCGCTCTGCGTGCGAGCCTGCGCGCGACAGCGCGGCCGCAGCACTGCGCCAGCCAGCGGCAAGCAGTGGCAGCAATCGCCGACGCATCCGTTTTGCAAACCAAGCTGCGGGCAGGTGCGTGGGATGATTGCGCGGGAAGTGAAGTTGACCGTTTCAGATTCTGCAGGATGAATTCAAAGTTTCTAAGTAAGTATGAGGATCGACCCTCCCCCCACCCCGGAGTAAACGGCCCGCCTTGACCCATTGCAATTTACACGCGTCTCTGCCCCATCGCCCAACCGAACAAGAAATTCGCACCAGCCCAGGCATTTCCTGCTCGGTCCCCTTCTCATCCCTTGCAGCAAATAGTATGCGCGCACTCGTTTATCATTTGCACCAGAGAAAAAACCCAATCAGTGGATTGTTTGAAATGGGATCGATAAAGAGCTCGAAAATGAGATCGACCGGGAATCCGGGAACCCGGGAAACCGGAACCCACCGAGGTCGGCCCGGAACCAAGGACCAGGAACCCGGGGACCCCGAACCGGGAACTTGGGAACCCAGCCAGCTACCAAAATCGGCGGGGAATTTTGGCCAAATATTTCATTTTGTTCGCAGGGTTTTCTGAGCAATCATTGATTGGGTGAAAGCCAGTTGTGCTTAAGAAACCTTTTGCAAAACATAGGACGATGTGCGCGCATGCCGGAATCCTTCAAAAAAACATAGCTGTCGTGATGATGTCAGAATCGAGTGCTCCGAAGACACACGTAAGAAAACAAAAAAAAATGGTTTTGCAACGGCAGCTGCCCAAACAAACAATTGGCAAAGAATGGCCTGCGCGTTTTCAAACGAGCCTGTGGCGCTGAATGTAGGAGTCATTCGAACGCCCTTGCGCGCGTGCTGTGGTGTGGGGGGGGCACGATCCCAGTCTAAGGAAACCATGCGGGCCACGCGCGTGCGTCGGCCGCGCGCGCGCGTCAAACTCCATCCAAAACTTCAACGCCGACGCGGGGACACTGTCATTGCCATCGGCGTGACCATCTTCGGCGCCGTCACCGTCTACGCCGTCGTCATCGATCCCATAGCCACCATGATCGCTATTATCATCATCGCGTCTACTTAAGTCGACGTCGCCATGATACCGCGCCCGCCCAAATCACCGACCCGTACTGAAGTGCCCGCTGGGAGGTGCCCAGCGGCCAGCCCCACCGCGGCCGCGTTGCCGGGCCAGACTGGCCGGCAGCTGCGCGCGCGAGCACGCGCGGGCTAGCGCGGCTGCGGGCTAGCGCGGCTGCAAGGGCGCACCAGGCAGCGCCAGACTCGCATCGCAATCGCCGTCGCATGGGTCTTGCAAGCCACGTTGCAGGTTCGCGGGTGGGGCGATTGCGCGAGCAGTGGAGTTATCGACTCCACAGCATTCACAATTAATTGCGCCGCATAGATTGCACCGCAAACATTGCACCCCATGTATCCCCCTTCGGCAAAGAGTACCAGAATCTACCCTTAGAGTATACCCCCCCCTTGGAACTGAACCCATCATTCTTCCATTGCAATGTACGTGCGATGTTGCCCCGTCGCCCGTCCTGAATATGAAATCGCACCGTCCAAGGCAGCCTCTTACCGACCCCTCTCCCCGCCCGACCCCGCCCGCCCACCCATGAATTGCAAACGTAGTTTATCAAACATCAGCGATGTCAGCAATCGCTGGCAACAAAATATGACGATGTGCGCGCGACGTCGCGCGCGCATGCCGGAACCTCTCGACCACCGCAGGCTTGTCCAGGCGTCGAAATCGATAGCCCAGGGAACATACAAAAACCATGGTTTCGAGCCAATATTTTCCAAAAGCAAGCAAAAAACAAGTAACAGAGATTGTGCTCGCGCCCTCGCGAATCCGTCAGAAAAGCGCGGGTATTACGACATGTTCATCACATGCTACCACAGGCTCCTCTCGCGCACCCATGGCGAAATCGTTGGCACGCCCTTGCGCGTTTTCGCAAATGTCCACGGTCTTTTTTTGGATTGTATCTAAAAGCGCGGCGACGCGCACGCGCGCGCGTCGTCGCACGTGCATGCCGAAAGCAATCAAGAACCGCCGGTGCCGCAAGGATTTCAACATCGAGCGCCGGAAACATAAAAACACTTGGTTTTGTAACATCAGGTTCAACAAAAAACGCGCGACTTCCCGAGTTTTCAAAACAGCCATCGGTGTTTCAACGTGTTCATCAAATTCGACCCACGGAATTGTCGCGCCGCATGTCGAAATCATTCGAACGCGCTTGCGCGCGCGCTGGTGCGGGGTGGGGGGAGGTGATCCCTTGCAAATAATAACTTGCCGGCCACTCGCGCGCGCCAGCCGCGCGCGTTCGCCGAACTCCGTCCAGAACCTCCATCGCCAACGCGAGGACATCGTGATCGTCATTGGCATGATCAGCGTCGGCGCCGTCATTGGCCTTGCAGTCGTCATCGCCATCATCGTCACCACCATCGCAACGATCAACATCGCGTCTGCCTTGGTCGACGTCGCCATGATTCCGCGCCCGCCCATGTCACCCAACTCACCGACCCGCGCAGAAGCGCCCGCTGGGATGTCCCCAACTGTCAGGGCCAGCGCGGCCGCGTCGGTCGCGCCAAACTAGCTGGCTGCTGTGCGCGCGAGCACGCGTGGGCTAGCGCGGCCGCAGAGATGTACAAGCCAACACCAAGCACTCATCGCAATCGCCGCCGGATGGGTTTTGCAAACCAAGTTGCTCTTGGGTGGGTGTGGTAATGCCGTGAGCAGTGGTGTTGATCATTGTTTTAAAATTATTTGCGCCGCGCAGATTGCCGCACATAGCTTGCGCCGCATCGGTTGCACCGCATAGTTTGCACGACATTGCTTCCAAAACGTAAAGTCTCCTTTCTAAAAGATTCATAGATTCTGCCCCCCTCCCCCCCCCCCGGACTTATCGGTTCCCCGTGGGATAAACCGATTTCATATATTTTCTGCACACTCGTCCATCTTAAATATGACATCATACCATCCCAGCCAAACCGGGTTCCCCCCGCTGCGGTTCCCTTGTAAAAAACACTATGCGGTGACATGGTTTGTTCTAACATAACACTGTTTCACGAATCCCTTGGAAAAAAATGGACGAAGTGCGCACGCGCGCGTCGTCGCGCGCGCATGCCCAAATCCTTCAAAAACCTGCGGTGCCGGAAGGATTCCGCATTCGAGCTTCCAAAAAACATGCAAAAACAAAGGGTTTCGCAACACTAATTTGCCAAAAAAGCTTACGCGCGAGCTCTTGCGAAATCTCAGGGGAGAAAAAAACATAGGTTTTTTAATATTTGCACAACATGCTACCAAACGGGCGTCGCGCGCGCATGTCGAAATCTGTCGAACGCCCTTGCGCGTGTGCCGTCGCGAGAATCCTTTGCAAAACATGGGACGAAGTGCAGACGCGCGCGTCGTCGCGCGCGTATGCCGAAATCCTTCAAAACCCATAGGTTTCGGAAGGATTTCAAAATCGTGAGTCCAAAAAACCCTACAAAAACACAAGGTTTCGCAACGCGGATTTTCAACAAAAGCGTGCGCGCGCGCTTTTGCGGCGTCGTCGTCGTCGTCGTCGCCGTCCACCCTCCTCCCCCGTCGTCGTCGTCGTCGTCGTCGCCTACGTCGTCCTCTGTCTTTCCTCGTGTTCGTCGTCGTCGTCCTCTTTGGCGTCGTGGTCGTTTCCGTCGTCGTTGTCGCCGTGGTCGTCCTTCCTCCTCCTCCCTCGTCGTCGTCGTCGTCCGTCGTCGACGTCTCGTCGTCGTCCCTTCTATTTCGTCGCCGTCGTCGTCGTCGTCGTTGTCGTCGTCGTCGTTTTCTCTCCTCCCTCGTCGTTGTCGTCGTAAGCGTCGCCGTCCTTTCCTCCTTCTTCGTCGTTCGCGTCGTCGCCGTCCTCCCTCCTCCCTCGTCGTTGTCGTCGTTGTCGCCGTCGTCGTCCTCCCTCCTCCCTCGTCGTCGTCTTCGTTGGCGACGTCGTCGTCGTCTTCGTCGTCGTCGCCGTCGTCGGCGTCGTCGTCGTCCTCGTCGTCGACGTCGGCGTCGTCGTCGCCGCCGTCGTCGTCGTCGTCGTCGGCGTCGTTGACGTCGTCGTCGTGGTCGTCGGTGTCGTCGTTGTCGTCGTCGTCGGCGTCGTCATCGTCGTCGTCGTTGTCATCGTCGTCGTCGTCGTCGGTGTCCGCGTCGTCGTCGTCGTCGGTGTCGTCGTCGTCGTCGTCGTTGTCGGCGTCGTCGAAGTCGTTTGAGACGTCGTCGGTGTCGTCGTACTCGTTGTCGGCGTCGTCGTCGTCGTTGTCGCTGTCGTCGTCGGCGTCGCTGTCGTTGCCAAGTGCCATTTGGTACCCACCGTCACGGTCTTAAGAGATTTTGCAAACCAATTTCCGGGTGGGTGGGTGGGATGTTTGCGCGAGCAGTGGAGTGGACAACTCATTGCGAACAGAAATTCATTACGCCGTATAGGTTGCACCACATGTAGTGCACCACGTAGTTTGCACATAGTTATATATATATATATGTATATGTATAGATGTGGATTCTCTTTTCAAAAAGGAATTACGATATACCGCCCACCCCCCGAGGCTGGGACTATCCGTGCCCCCTGGGGATGCGCAGCTCACAGATGATGCTGCCCCACCGCTCATTCGAATATGAGTTCATATGATCCCAGCCAACCCCAGACCGGCATCGCACCCCCCTTCCGCCCATGGCCAAAACTACATTCGCGCGCACTTCCTCATCTCGAACAGCTTTCTTCAATAATCCCTTGCGCAGAAGAGGACAAACTGCACGCGCGCGTCGTCGCGCGCGCATCCCGCAGCCTGTCAAAAATATTCGGCTTCGTCCAGATTTCAAAATCGAGCACCTCGAAAAGATATAAAAACAAATAGTTTCGCAGCAGGAATGTTGGAAAGCCAGTGGACCTGCGAATACTCAACAAAACAATTGGTTTTCTGCATTTGCACCAAACCAGACCAATCGTCCCCTTCGCGCGCGCATGTCGAGATCATTTGAACGCTCGTTGCGCGCGCACTGTCGCAAGAATCCTTTCCAACACACAGGACGAAATTCATGCGCGCCCGACGTAGCGCGCGCGTGCCCTCATCCCGGAAAGTCTTCAGGCGCCGTCCGGATTTCAAAATGCAACACCCCGAAAGCATGTGAAATCAATGGTTCGCAACAGGTGGATTCTATACATACATATATATACACCTATATGTAGAAAACACGCCTGCGTTTTTGCGTACGTTTGTTTAAGAAGGCCATTGGTTCTTCATGTTCATTAAATGCTACCAGACGTGCCTCTCGCGCGGGCATGTCGGCATCATCCAAACGCCTCTTGCGCGCTTGCTGGGGGGGGGGGGGCGGGGGGGCACGATCCCTTTCGAATAATCCCACGCGGGCCTCTTGCGCGCGTCGGCCTTCATCGCCGACGCGAGGACGCTGTCGTCGTCGCCGTCGTCGACGTGATCAGAGTCGGTGCTGCATCCGGCCTTGGCGTCGTCATCGCCATCGTCGTCGCCGGCATCCTTACTATCATCATCGCGCCTGCCCTTCTCGGCATCGCCGTGGCGCCGCGCCGATTCGAGGCGCCGGCTCGCACTGACGCGCCCGAGCGTCATCGCGGCGTGCGAGGTGCGCGGGGAAATCCACAGCGGTCAGCGCCTTTGCGACCGCGTCGGTTGCGCCAGACTAGCTAGTGCTGTGGCGCGTCGGTTGTGCCAGACTAGCTTGTGCTCTGCGCGCGGGGTTGCGCGCGCAAGCCCGGCCGTGGCAGCGCGCCAGCCAGCGCCAATCAGCCGTCGCAGTCGCCGCCGCATGGGCTTTGCAACCAAGTTGCAGGTGGGTGTGTGGGCAGGTGCTTGCACGACACCGCGTAGGTTGCACCACATAGACTGCGCCACAAAGCTTAGGCAACTTAGATTGAAACGCGTAGATTGCACCGCGTGGGCTGCACAACATATTGCACCACGTAGAGTGCACAACAGATATCTCACCACATTAACTGAACCACCAGGTCGCACCACATAGACAGACTGCACAGCGGAGATTGCACCATATAGAACTCCTTCGGAAAGCCAGGTGCCGTACGGATCGCAAAACCGAGTGCCCCGGAAGCATCTACCAACACATAGTTCCGCAACCAAAAAAAACAAAAAATGCGTTCGCGCTCTGGCGATGTTTTTGCTTGAAGCCATGGTTTCTTCCACATCTGCATGACATGCGAACCGAGGGCCTCTCGCGCGCGCATGTCGAAATGGCTCGGATGCAGTGTGCGCGCGTTTTCGCAATCATCCCATGCGGAAAACGGGACGATGTGCGCGCGCGCGTCGCCTCGCGAGCAAACCGAACTCATTGAAAGCCCTCTTTCGGGTGTCGCTGGGATTTCAAAGTCGAGCGTCCCGAACATCATATATTACATATTATGTGCAACATCAGTGTTCAAGAAATCCTGCGCTCGCGCTCTGATGAGTTATTGGCAGAAGCCATCGGGCTCACAACAATTTAATTGAATTCGGCCAAACGGGCCTCCCGTGCTGCATGTCGAAATCATTCGAACGCCCTTGCGCGCGTGCTGGGCGGTGGCACGATCCGTGCCAAAACATTCAGTGTGGGCCACTCGCGCGCCGGACGCCGTCATCGTCGCCGGCCTGATAAGCATCGGCGCCGTCACTGGCCTTGCCGTCGTCGTCGTCACCGTCGTCACCAGCACCGCTATTTACATCACCGTGTCTACCGCTGTCGACGTTGCAATGATACCGCGCCCGCCCAAGTCTTCGACTCGGATGGAAGTGCCCGTTGGGAATTGCCCGGCGGTCAGCGCCACCGCGGCCGTGTCGGTCGTGCCAAAGTAGCTGGCCGCTGCGCGCGCGAGCATGCGCGGGCTAGCGCGGCCGACGTGGTGCACAAGCCAACACCACGCACTCATCGCAGTCGACGCCGCATGGGTTTTGCAAACCAGGTTGCGTGTGGGCAGGTGGATGATTGCGCGAGCAGTGGGCTTGACAGCTTCAAGTTCGGCAGGGTGCATTGCACCACGTAGATTACACAGAAAAAATTGGGCAACGTCGATTGCACAACCTAGATTCCATTGCGTTGGTTCCACCACATAGAATGCTAGTGACGCACGGTGTGGGGTCCACGCTGGCTGACATTATAGTCATTTTATACGGGCCTCGTGGGCGTCCTTCGCCGCCACGGCGAGACGCAGCTCGGAAAATTGGCTACGATGGCCACCCCATGGACGGGATTTGGGGGCAGAGTTCAAGCATTTGTTTGGGCGCTTCACCGCGAAGGAAAAGAGACACGCGCAAGCGTTGGTGTCGACTTTGGTCATCGTCTATCTTAGCCAATGTCAATTCGTGGATCATCTTCGCGAGTCGGCGATGGCCGGCATGGACCATGACCAAGACCGGCATCGACAAGACCCCGCGACATCATGAGCATGGTCACCGTGGTTTTTTCCCAAAGATTTTTCGGGTGCGCCAATGTCCTGGCCATGAGCGAAAATCCTGGAGGCCTAGCGCGGCGCGAAATGGTTATTTCATCTGGTCAGCAAGTCTGCCCCGTAAGATATGGGACGACGCTCGCGCGGCGATGCTCCGGCGCAAGTCCGACGTGAATCCGAGGTAAACCCTTCGCACATCCGACGTCGCCCGACGTGAACCCAACGCAAGTCCGACGTGCATCCGACGTCGTTTGGGTCTCAAGCTGCCGCGCGAGGCGTCCACGATTTTCCTCACAATCGTGGCTCCTCGCCGTCCCCGCGTGCGGCCAGCAGGCTTCTCCTGAGCCCGCGTGCCGCCGACGTGCGGCGGGCGCTGTGGAAGGACGAGGAGGAGGACCCCCCTCCTTCGCCGCGAGAGCTCGGGCCCCCCCCACACGGGGTTCAGGCACAGGGGGGGGGGTCGGAGGATCGCGCCACACCTCCGGTGCATCGGCGAGGCGGCTCGGTCGGGGCTCGAGACACGGGGGTCCAGGCGAACGGGGTCAGCCAGAGCGCCAGACGTTGCAGGATCCTGCAGAGCCAGGGGTGCCTTGACCAGGGCCAGCGTGCAGCATCTTGCAGGACATTGCAGCACTCTTCAAAGCCTGACTGACCCGGGTTTGGATTGATCCGGGTCGGGAGATCCCCGGCTCGATGCAGGGTCCGATTCTCTCCACGCCGACGTCGCGAGAGTATCGCCGATGCGTCCGCGATGTGTCGGCGATGCGGCGCGATCCTCCGACCCCATTCGCGCGGACCCAGTTCCATGTGGGATGCCTCCAGAGAAGCCTTTGCGTTGGAGCTTCGGGGGAGCTCGTCTGCCCCGTGGCTGGCGGCCCTTATGGTGTCCAATGTGCTGTTTGCTCGGCGTGCCGTTGCGCCAGTCCTGGCCCATTACGCTGCGGCGCGACACGTAAGTCGGACACGACACACCCCTCCACAGGAGGAATCTTCAAGAGCAGGAAAGAAGTAGTCTGGGGACGCTTCTTTTAGCATTTTTCTGGCTATTTGGGACCATCTGGGTTTTTCTGATCCCCCCCCACAAAAAAAATAATCGTCCAAGATCCGCCTGGCGCCCCTCCACAGGAAGAATCTTCAAGAACAGTAGAAAAGTAGTCTGGGGACGAGTCTTTTCGTATTTTGTTTGCTATTTTGGACCATCTGGGTTTTTCTTATCCCCCCCAAAAAAAGAATCGTCCAAGATCCGCCTGGCGCCCCTCCACAGGAGGAATCTTCTAGAACAGGAAAGAAGTAGTACGGGGACGCCTCTTTTAGCATTTCTTAACTATTTTGGACTCTCTGGGTTTTTCTTATCCCCCCCCCAAAAAAAAGAAGAATCGTCCAAGATCCGCCTGGCGCCCCTCCACAGGAAGAAGTAGTATGGGGACGATTCTTTTAGTATTTCTGGCTATTTTGGACCATTTGGGTTCCTCTTATCCTCTCTCCCCCCCCAAAAAAAATCGTCCAAGACCCGCCTGGCGCGCGCGCGATCGGCACGCAGAGCACGGCGGGGTCGCAGGGGCCGCCGCCCCACGGCACGCGCAGCGGAGAGGTGGTCCCCGGCCGCCGTGCCCTCGGCGGGCGCGCGAAGTCGGCCGGGCGCGCGGCGCCCGCGCGAGCTCGGCGCGGGCAGCGGGAAGTCGGGCCTGGTTCCTCGACGGGAGGAGCATCCAAAAATGGTCGAAACATGATACTCAAACATAGTCGAAACATCGTATTCAAACAAATAGTCGAAAATAGTCCAAACTAGTCGGGCCTGGTTCCTCTACAGGAGAGTATTAAAAGTGGCCGAAAAGTCATGTTGGGGGCGGTGTGTTGCGTGTTGTCTGGCATGTTTGGAGCACTTGTCTGCTTATAGATCACCCAAGGAAGGGCTACCCTAGGGCTACCCCTAGGCCCTAGGGCCTACCCCTAGGGCTACCCTAGGGCTACCCCTAGGGCCTACCCCTAGGGCTACCCTAGGGCTACCCCTAGGGCCTACCCCTAGGGCTACCCTAGGGCTACCCCTAGGGCTACCCTACCCCTAGGGCTACCCTGGGGGGCTACCCCTAGGGCCTACCCCTAGGGCTACCCTAGGGCTACCCCTAGGGCCTACCCCTAGGGCTACCCTAGGGCTACCTAGGGCCTACCCCTAGGGCTACCCTAGGGCTACCTCTGGGGCCTACCCCTAGGGGTACCCTAGGGCTACCCTAGGGTGTCCAGTAGGGCCTATCCTTGGGAAGCCTAGGGCCTTCAGTCTGTGTAATCCGCCACACAAGCAAGCAATGCCTTTAATGTCCCGCCCGCCCGCCCGACAAAAGGAATCAGCTTGTAATCCGCCATAATAGTAATCAACTTGCAATCCGCTGCCAAATGGAATCACTTTGTAATCCGCCACGAAAGCAACCAATGCTTTTAATGTCCCGCCCGTGTTATCCGCCACACAAGCAAGCAATGCCTTTAATGTCCCGCCCGCCCGCCCGACAAAAGGAATCAGCTCGCAATCCGCCATAATAGTAATCAACTTGCAATCCGCTGCCAAATATAATCACTTTGTAATCCGCCACGAAAGCAACCAATGCTTTTAATGTCCCGCCCGCCCGCCCGACAAAAGGAATCAGTTTGTAATCCGCAATAAAAGAGAATCCATTCGTAATTCGCAACACAAGCAATCATTGCCTTTAATGTCCCGCCCGCCCGCCCGACAAAAGGAATCAATGTGTAATCTGCCACAATAAGAATCAGTGTGCCACCCGCTACACATGCAATCAATGCCTTTAGTGTCCCGCCCGCCCGCCCGACAAGAATAATCAGTTGATAATCCACCACACAGGGAATCAATATATGTAATCCGCCACCAAGGCAACCAATGCTATTAATGTCCCGCCCGCCCGCTCGACCAAAGGAATCATATTGTAATCCGCAATAAAGGGTTACCCCTAGGGCCTACCCCTAGGGCTACCCTGGGGCTACCCCTGGGGCCCACCCCTAGGGCTACCCCTTGGGAAGCCTAGGGCCTTGAGTAGGGCCTACCCTTGGGAAGCCTAGGGCTTTGGGTAGGGCCTACCCTTGGGAAGCCTAGGGCCTTGGGTTGGGCCTACCCTTGGGAAGCCTAGGGCCTTGGGTAGGGCCTACCCTTGGGAAGCCTAGGGCCTTGGGTAGGGCCTACCCTTGGGAAGCCTAGGGCCTTGGGTAGGGCCTACCCTTGGGAAGCCTAGGGCCTTGGGTAGGGCCTACCCTTGGGAAGCCTAGGGCCTTGGGTTTAGGCCTAGGGTAGCCCAAGGCCCCCGTTGATCTATACCCTTGTCTGGCAATGCTTAATCTATCGGTCCAAAAATAGTCCGAAAACATGAATTGGAGACGAGTTGGTGTTGACGTCTCGTCTGGCGTGTTTGGAGCACGGTCGTGTGGCATGCTCATGTTTCGTCCCAGAGTCAGCCTGTGGAGCGGACGACGACGACCTAGGAGTCAGCGGCGGGGGGGGGGGGGGAACCACGGGCAGGGCCCCCCCCCGAGAGGCAGCAAGAAGAGAGAGAGCCTCGAGATGCCGACGCCGGCGGGTGCAGGGTACAGCGTCGGGGAGGAGGCGAGAAATCGCGGGGGGGGGACGGGGAGCCACACTTTCACGCCCCCCTCCTCCCTCCTCCTCCTCCCTCCTCCTCCTACTCTCCCCTCCTCCTCCTCCTTCTCCGCCTCCTCCTCCTCCTCCTCCCTCCTCCTCCTCCTCCTCCCCCTCCTCCTCCTCCTCCTCCTCACGGGGGGGCAGAAACCAGCTGGATGCAGGTTACTCTGAGGAGCGTCGTGCTGCCCCCTCCTCCACTCGCGTCCTCTCGCCGGAGGTTCGCCCCCGTGGCCTCAAGGAGTTCCCAGAAGGCTCTCGGAAGGTCAACGAGGTGCCAGGAACATCCGAAGACTTGATTCCGTGAGGTTCGATTGTCGAGTCTTGTCCTTAGAATTCCAAGTCATCCCCGTGACTCTTCCTTGTCCTCCTTCTACACTTCTCCTCTGTGTCCTCCTCCTCCTCCTCCTCCTCCTCCTCCTCCTCCTCCTCCTCCTCCTGCCTGCCTCTGCTCCACTCCATCCCTCCCTGCCTGCCGCGCAATGGACCACAGGACCTCCTGAGGCCTTCTGGAACTTCGAAGGGGCCTTCTGGGACCTCCTCGGGCGTCCTGGAGCCCTCTGGGGCTCCTGGGGCCCCTTGGTGCCTCCTGCGGCTTCCTGGGGCTTCCAGTGGTTTTCTTGGACCTCCTGGGGCCCTCCTCCTCCTCTTCCTCTTCCTCCTCCTGATCTACCTCCTGGGGCTTCCTGGGACCTCCTGGGCCGTTTTGAGCGGTCCTAGGGCCTCCCGTCGTAATTTGTTCGTGGCTCGAGGGCCTGGCAAGGGCCCACAGAGGCCGAGAATAGCGACAAGCTTCCCGTCGTGATTGTTTCGTGGCTCGATGGGGTCCAGGTTTCTTGGTAATTACCTCTCGTCATGATTTTTGCGTGGCTCGAAGGGGTGGGAGGAGGGGGAGGAGGAGGAGGAGGAGGAGGAGGAGGAGGAGGAGGAGGAGGAGGAGAAGGGAGCAGGAGCCTAAGGAGTAATCAGGGGAGGTCATGGATGGGGGGGAGGAGTAGTGAGGGGAGGAGGAGGAGGAGGAGGAGAGGAGGTGAGGAGGGAAGAGGGAGAGGAGAAGGAGCAGACGGAGCACAGGAGGAGCAGGGAGGAGGATAGGAGGGAGGAGGATGGAGGAGGAGGAGGAGCTGGGGGTCTCGCGAGGAGGCCGCGGAGGCGCCGCGCAGCGCCGCCTCCATCCTGGGCAACCTCTGCCCGCACTGGACGCCGCCCGGGGGCGAGCCGCCCGCGGACGCCCCGAGGCGCCCCTCCGAGGCCCTGGGCAGGCTGGTGGCCACGAGCGCGTGCCCCGACGGGCGCCCCGTCCTCCTCCGCCGCCTCCG